TAGTAGTCTAGCATTTGTTAATGTTCAGTTGTACCGTTATTTTGTTCCTATACAAATTTTATGTGGGACATTTAGTAATGTATCTAATATATCGATATTTTCATCAAAATCATTACGATTATATTCATGTTCAAGATACTATTTGGTACAATCAATTGTCAGTTTAGTATACATCTATACTGTTGTAATAATAAGGTGGTTGGCAGAAGGCTTCAATACCGATGTAACACTCTATTCGATTGATCTATGTAAATTTTACATATATTTTTTGTATGTCATTCGATTAATGACAGCATCATTGCTAATTTTATCTTGCATCGACCGTTATCTGTCATCATCATCGAATTATAAGCTGCGAAAATTCAGTCAAATTAAAGTAACACGATATACAATACCACTTACAGTCATTATTTCTTCTGTTAGTTACATTTATTTATTAATGTATGTTGAAATCAAACAAGGTATTCTGTGTAATATATACAATAGTCACTATGTACAATTTCATTATATATTTTTTACAATTCTCTCAAATCTATCACCACCTTTACTGTTACTTGTATTTGGTTTACTTACATTAAAAAATGTTCGACATCAACGACAACAAATACATGCCGCCAACAATAATAATAATAATCAATTATATCGTCGACGTGATAATCAAATGATTCGTTTGATGTTATATCAAGCATTTATCTATGTTTTATTTGCATTGCCTTTAGCTCTCATTGCGACTGTTAATGCATTTAATACACCAACAACGGTTACACTATTTTTACAGAAAGCATTTATTGTCGTTTCATTTTTTAATTTTATTTTATCATTCTTTATCAACACATTATCAGCTACTATATATCGGCAGGAATTTTTGAAACAATTAATTTTTATATCTAAAAAGTTATTTCGATCAACGTGGATTGAAAAACGATTTATCCATCGTCAGCAAAAACAACGACAAATAAAACGTTTTACCTTCAAACGAACTGTGACAGTTCAGCAACAAACAATGACACAAACAATGACGTAATACTGTCATGCTGTAGCTGTAAAAAAGATTTATATGTATATTTTATTCAATATCTTAATAAAGAAAAAACTATAAATAAGTGAATAACTTAATTGCTATTTTAGACAGACGGTTGTAGAAATTTTTCTGTAATTTTAATTAGCCTGTCACGTTTTTATTGAATTTAAGCGGCTTCCCGCCTCAGAAATGGTGATTTTCGATCAAAAAATCGGTTTTGAGATACGTACATGGAAAAATAGCCTGAAGTTCCTAATTGCAGAATCTGAATCGCTTTCGGCTGTAGAAGTGATTTTCGCGGTTTAAGCAAGTTTTCTAGGAGTCTCGAAAACCGAGTTTTCAAATAATAGTTATTTTCTGGGTAGTTATGCAATTTTTCCGAGCGAGAAGATTTGTAGAGCAAACTTTCCTGATCAAAATACAAATTCGCACAACTCTATTTAAAATGTGAAGTATTGGAATTACGCTATGCGGACGCACGGCCTAACCGATTTGTTGTTGCAACTAGAGGTGTAAGCCGATCAGTTAGTCGGCGGCGGCGGTTCGTATTTTTTTAATTTTCTAGAAGTTCGGCGGCGGCGTCTGAAAATGTAATAAAGCAAAAAATAAAATGTTAAACTTTTTTAAGTAAATCATAATTATCATGAATCATTTGTATTTTACCAAGATTTTTCGGTGCTAACATCGTTCTTTTAGCGTTTAGAATTAAACCTGTTGTCGAAAAGACCTGCTCACTTGGCGTGAACGTTGCAGGAACTGTAAGAACAATTTGGGCAAGTCTTTTTAAATGAGGAAATGTATCACCTGATGATCTCCAAAATCGAAGTACATCATTACAAATAATATCTGATTTTAAGTAACTGTCGATTTAATCAGCAACAGGATCAACACTATGTATAGGCATTGGTGTATGTTTTTGAATCAGAGTTTCACGAAGTCAAGGTAATGTATGGTATCAAGATAATGTATGGTGAAACAAATGTAAGAACGATGTTTATATTTGTCACATCAAATATCACATGTTACTGTTGGAAATGGCGATGCTGTTTTTAACTGTTCATTTGTTTTGTCAACACATACATCGTATATTTTGTTAAGGTTAATGAGTGATAACATGGTTCGGAAAGGAATTTCTTCTTTCGTATTAACAACTTTATTACAAATTAAAAAATCTTGAAAACCTAAATATTAGTAGACTTAATAGGTAACCCATGAGTATTTTTTTCGCATAAAAATTCGGTGGACCGCGGTGAGTTTTTCAACCGCGAGAAACTAGGCGTTACGGGGGACCGCGTTTTTTTTATGAACCGCGTGCCATGGTAAAGTAGATTAAAACCGCGGTTTCACTCGTTTTTTTGTGAATCGCGGTCAACGGTAATCGCGTTTCACAGCGATTGCAGTAATGTATCCGGGTGGACCGCG